TTAAGACAGCATTCTGGCCATGGCCTCCTGGCCCAAGACCTCTGCTGGTTGGGGCTTCAGTTCATGAGAATTGGTGGAGACAAGTGATCTTAACCCTGGCATTCAGCACCTGCCTTCCCAGGCCCCTCCTGACATCCTGCCCAACCTTCCTGGTCATGCCTCGGGCCCCCTCCACTTGCCATCAGCACCACCCCAGCCTCCAAAAGGCCTCTGCTGGTCCCTGTCTCTGCCACGAGTTACTCAACAGCACACCTGCTCTAGGGCATGGTGGGGCTGGAGAGGCAGCCCAGAGGGTGCTGTACAGGGCCTTGTCCTGAGGGTGCGCCCTGTGGCACTGTTTGTAAAAAAGAGGTACTTGGGTGTCCCTCCCTAGGAAGGGCCCAACACGGACTCTGGAATCAGAGGGACTCTTGGAGCTGCCTGAGGTCTGGGCATGCTCACTTCCCTCTCGGGAGGTGCCGTTTCCTCCTCTGAAGGAGAGGCCCAGCCACAGGTCTGAGCTCACGCAGCGAACCCACCACCATCAGGCTCAGGAATGGGGCCTCGGGTCACTGGACTCACCACACTGCCTTTAAAAACCCCACAATTGGGCCTCCCTGGTGGCGCAAGGCGTGACGTCTCAGCACTGTGAAGCAATGTGCAGCCACTGCAGCCTGAGTTCGAGCCCCAGGCAGGGAGCTACCCACACGGCGCAGCAGACCTCTCCTGACTCGCCCACTGCTCCCCTCAGCAGTGTGTTTCAGTCAGTCTGCCTGTTGTTTCACCCCCCTGCCCCTCTGGTCTACACCCCAGCTCTTGTATGCATAAATAAAAAAACAAATCTTTAAAAAAAAAAAAAAAACCACAATATGTGATGAGGGCAACTGACATTACATGGGAAAACAGGTGGCTCCAAACACTTTTATTTCTTTTAAGGAAAATGAGATTTTGATCACATACATGGAAAAGCCTCAGGAAAATACGCCCCACAGACCAGTATTTTTGACTTTCATCTTTGTGTTCCTCTACTGAAATAAGGGGAAAAGCACAATACACCTCCACAGACATACCTCCTGCCCTCAGGGAGCTGACAGCCGGCGGGCCACCACGTCCTCTCCACCCTGCAGACTCGAAAGCAGGGACTACAGCGGGACCAGTGAGCCTCATGCCAAGGGCTCGATACTCTCCCGACAGAACCAAAGGCCTAAGCCAGGCCCCGCAGTGGCCTGCGTCCAGCCTCGTGACATGGCGGCGAGTCCCAGAGGGGAGGCACCCGAACTTCCCGTCCTCAGCGGGAAGTGCTCACACCGTGTCCCTGGAGGGAGGGAGGGAAGCTCTGGGGTCAGTGGGTCCCAGAGGTTGGAGGCTCAAGGAGCCCCAGGATGCGACAAAGCTCCTGCCCAACAACCCCTGACAACCCCTCCAGCAGGAAGACGGAAGCTGGACCCTCGGCTCTCCTGGTGCTGGCTTCCTGTCTGCCCAGGAGGTGAGTAATGTCCGCTCCCCCGCCCCCAGGCATCCCTTCTGGAGGCCAGGCCTCACATTTTCCGTTCAGGAAGGGGCAGAGCAAGTGGCCTGGTGAAGCACATCAAGGGGAAGAGGAAGGAGTGGACCCTGGCCAGCCCCTCCCGCTGGTCTGGCCGTGGACCTGCTGCGCCAGCGGCCGCTGGCCCACCTGCCTGTGGGCACCCTCATTCACTTCTTCCCTTGCTCGCTCACTCAGACGCTGCCCTGCCTGCTCTATACCAGCGTTGTCCGGCGCGAGGGTCCTGCCTATCCGGGCACGTATGTATCTGGAGGAAGAGATGGGCATCAAGCAGATAATCCCAGTGATGGGGCGAAATTACAGACTGACGTGGCGCTGCCGGGCCCCCAGCTGACGCCAGACCACAGTGTCTCCAGACAGAGTCTCAACAGTTGGCATCCTCTCTCTACCCCCACAGGGCAGCCCTGGGCCACAGTGATTCTCCGTGCACTCAGGTCTGGACTCAAAAGGAAGCCCACGGCCTCAGTCAGCTCAGCAGTAGGTCAGTGGGTGGGAGGTGTGAGCAGCCTGGCTCAATCTGGGCCCCGCATGTGTGTGAGGGGCGCCTCCTTCTGGTTCCAGATCCCCCTCCCCCGCCACCCACCTTCTGGGGAACCTCGCACATGGCCTCTACAGTTGCCAGAGGAAAGAGGAGGAGTGCAGCCTTGGCGACCCCTCCTGACTAGCCAGATCACCCCAGTTCTCTCCATGATCCTCAGTAGCCTCCCCTGTGAGAGAGGACAAGAGCTATGCGCTCACCCCAGGCAGCCACAGGCCCCAGTGAGGCAGCCTCGGCAAGCTTGGGGGCAAAAGCGCAACAGCCACAAGCTCCAGGAGCGAGAGCCTGCGTGCCGATAAATCATTCCCGGCCTCAGCCACAGGACCGGCCCTGCAGGGGCCCAACCTTCTGCTTCTGTGTTAAAACTTAGAAAGGCAGGAGGAGGAAGATGTCCCTATAAATCCACCACAGGTGTGAATCTGTGCAAACTGCTTGGCTTCTTCAAAGGCTTCCAGCCTGCATTACTGGCATAGCCGTTGGGATCCCCTACGTTACCAGTTTGGGGGTGTCCTCAGGAACAAAGAACCCAACTCTTGGGCCTGATTCCCTCTGGATGGTGTGCTGGCAGTAGGTCTCAACACACGTTTGTTCCTCTATTCATTCAGGTCACAAGTAGTCACAAGTATAGTGTGCCAGGCACACAGTGGGGCAGAGAGCAAGACCAACATGGTCTACAGCACGTGGCGCTCACCGCGCGGACCTCAGACATCATCTTTCTAACTAGATACCTTCATGGAGGACTGAGGGCCAGACGCCATACACCAACCACCCTGGGGGTGAGTGGGGTTAGGGAAGTTTCTGGGTGAAGGCACATGAGCTGGGTGGAGACTGTGGTGGTGTGGAGGGCGGCAGCAGCCAGGGCCTGTGCCCACCCTGGTCCTTCAATAGAAACATGAGAACACCTTGAAGACTGACAGCCTCCCACTGACTCACTGATGGGGACGGCCCTTACTCGAGTCTGCACTGCATGCACCTGCAGAGAGGGGAGCTGGCCACGTGCCACGTGGGGACAGGTGGGCTGGACGGGGCCTCCAGGCCGTCTCTGTGTCCACCCAGAACCCTACAGAACCCACTGCTCTGGAGAGACAGGGCAGTCAACCAAGGAGAGACCAAGCCAGATGGCTGGGACCTTTCGAGGCCTGCGACCCCAGCACTGGGCCTTGGTCGGCTCAGACCGGCACATCAGCCCACGGCCTCCAGACACAGCCTCTGATTAAATAATTAAATTGATGGTATCATAGTCAACACCATCCTCCCAGCTCTGGCTGCCTGCCCTAATAAACACCCATCCTTGTGCTGTCAGCAGGCCAGCCTCAGCATTCACGGCGAGGAAGGACTGAATGGGCTGCAGCACAGGGGAGCAGGCGTGACGACACCCAGGTGGGGCACACCAGGCTGCTGCGGGACCTGCTGACCCCACCAGCCTCTGCTTCTCTCGGCCTCCTCTTTATGATCAGCCAACCTCCGGGCAGGGGTTAACCGATGCTGAGGAAGCCTGTGACCCCCACAGCAATACTTCCCCCCTGGCACCTGATCCTGAGGCCCCCAAATCACCAAATCTCCACAGGAAGTGTCTCCCATAGAGGTCAGACCCCCAAGGGGTGGTGGTGAGGGACACACGACATTTTTGAGGATGAGTTGAAGGAGTATGGGGCCCATTCATTCCCACTATTCTAGGTTTTAAAAAGTGTTCTAGATCCTTCTTGGGAAGGTATACTTGGTGGCCCTGAGCTTGGCTGAGCTGTGCTGGTGTGGCTCTTAGTATGGCCTTTGGGTGTGGCCCTCAGTCAGGTCAGATGAGGCAGGAGGTCAGCTGCTGGACACTCCCCAGCCCCAGAGCCCCCAGAGCGTGTGGCTGCCCCACCTCGGGGCCCACCCCGTGGGAACGCAGGAAGGAGGTACTGGTCTGGAAGGCTGGCAGCACGAGGGGGCTGTGCTGACCTCATGAGGCGTCAAGACACAAAAGCCTTTTCTTCCCCAGCAGCCTCACACCCCACTCCTCGAAGAACCACCCCCTGGCTCCCCAGCCTCCAGCCCAGCCACCCCAGCTGCCTCCAGGCTGTGTCTCCTCCCAGACAAAGCCGGATTCAGGTCTTCGAGGGCAGCAGGGAGGCAGGCTCAAGGGTTCTGCCATGGAGATGAACTTTGACCCAAACTGCAAGGCTCCTACCCCTTATTTACTCTTTAAGGCTAACCCGTTTCACAGAGTTAACATTACACCCCTTTTTAACCCTGAACCTCCCTCCTACATTCCAGGCCCCGACCTTCGACCCCTCCTAATTGCAGCCTCTACACCCCAGTTCTCTGAGGCCTGACTCTGGCTCATCCCCCACCCCCCATCTCCTCCTCCCAGGAAATCAGAGCCAAGCCAGGGCCACTCTGACTAAGGTGCCACCCCACGCCCACAGCTGCACCCGAATGAGGCAGGCACCGGAGTGCCAGAGCGCCAGCGTTCCCACCCCCAGGGAGGCCAGAGGCAGCGGCGGGGCAGGTGCTGGGGAAGCGCCCAGCAGGGGCCCATCTCACCCAAGGGCACACATATGACAAGTACCCGGCCCGCTCACGGGCACCGGCAGGACCCTGTCCTACACTCACGAGTCAAGTCACAGAAGCCCAGCTCTGGCTTTCGGGCTTGGGCAGCAGGCACACTGGGAACCTCCTCGGCCTGCAGCGCTAACTCCGAGGACCTGCCCCACCACGCCGTGAGCATCGGGGCGAGAGGCGCGCTTGCCAGCCCTTGGCCTCCTCTATCCCTGACCTCTGGGAGCAACACGGCGCTCTTCCTGGAACCGGGGGCTGGAGCAGTGGGGCACGCAGATACGCCAAGAATGTTGGGGGCAGCTATGAGCCTGGGCCCCCCCCCCCGAGAGGCTCCAGATCCCGGGGTGCCCGCCTAGGTCAGGCGCAGCCCCTCCCTGGTGGCCAGCGGGTACTCACCATCCTCTTGGCTGTGGAGGTTCTGCGGGCTCCGCATCCTCTCGTCCTGGCTGGGACTCAGGCTGGAGGCCAGGTGTGGGTCAGCTGACATCCATGTGGAGTCGTTCATATCAAAATCTTCACTGCTCACAGAAGTTTCATCCTGATCAGGGACAAAGAAGGTGGGTGCTCGTCAGCCCCAAGGCAGCCTTTTGGATGAACCCCCAAAAGCTCCAGGCCCTGTGGTGGGAGCTGGGATGCCTGCCTCTCCCCCCACCCCCACCCCGTGGAAGTGGCTGGGGCTCTGGTTCCTGTCGGAAGCCGGGACGGGGCCGGCGCTGTCTGTAATTGAAGACAATTACGAGGTCTCGCATCCTGTAGGGGTGGAGAGCGGGGCCTGGCTCCTACCCTTGTGAGCCAAGGTTGAGACAAGCGCTGTAAACAAGGGTCACCGCTCTTCCTGCCCACAGCCAGGGAAGCGGGCTGGCACCGCACTCGGCGAGGCGGCCGGAGGTGGGCAGCAGGGCAGGAGCCGAGCCGATGGGCCCACCAGCCTGCCGCCTGCTGCCCCGACTCCAGCCCCGACTCCACGGAGCATGCATGGAATTCCTTTCTCCCACTCCCCCGGCCCAGAGGACATTTCTGTCTTCCTCCTTCCTAACCTTTGCTGTGCTTCAAAGATATGCTCTTGGGCGGCATCCAGAGCTGAAAAGGCCAGCCCCAGAAGTGTGGAGAAGGAAGGGGGTGGGGCAGGCGAGGGTTTGGATCAGACCGCAAAGGGGGTTCGGCTCAAGGGACTGGGGGGCCGCCAGGGCCTTCCAAACAGCCGGAGGGCCTGCTGGGGAGGACCACGCCTGCCCCCTCTCTCCTCGCAGTCATCCGGGAACCCCTGGGGCGGGGCCCCTTCCATCCAGCGGGAAGGGCCCCCACCTCCTTCTGGCCCGGCCTCTTTCAGGAGCAGCAGGCAACTGTGCTTGGGAGCTGGCCGTAAAAGCAGAGAAAGATGACCCAGCAGCTCCCACACCCCACAGCTCTGGCTCTGCCCCCTCCTCTCTCCCCTCCAGCAAGATACAATGGCTACTGTGGACGCCCTGTGTAAGGACCTCTAGCAGAGCACCGCCCCCCAAAAGCCTCCCCTCCAGGGCCCCCTCACAGAGTGAGCAAACACACTGTAGTTTGAACTTTCTTCGGCTGCTGTCCCTGAGGCAGACACATCTGCTCTCCAAGCGCCAGGGAACTGGCGTGCTTAGCCTCCTGTCCCTCCCCCACCGTGCCGGGCTGGCAGGGAGTTTCCTGGAATTTACAGCTTCTGTGCGGCAGGAGTGTGCACCCTCTGCAGCTGAGCCTGGAGGACCAGAGCTGGGCCATGCTGCCAGCCAGCGCTGCCCAGCTTGGCGGTGGGGGGCCGGGGGAGGGGGTCCAGGCAGCTCACCCAGAGACTCCGAGGAGGAGGAGGAGGAGGAGGAGGGAGGAGGAGGAGGAGGAGGAGGACAAGACCACGTGGGCCCCGCGCTGGCTCCCCTGCGCACAGGCACGCAGACACTCCCTCTGCCTCCCTCGTACAGGCCGCCCTGCTCCTCACACACAAGCACATCCACCCACAGTCTTGCTGGGATGAAAACACTCTCACACTTCCCTTGGCCTGTGTTCTCACACCTGGAGGGAACACACAGTGGCAAAGGCACTTGTCTGCAGGAAGAGGACAAAGGGACAACAAAACCCTCCCCTACACTAACCAGACAGAACCCCAGAGCTGCTGGCGGTGGGAGCCAGGAACAGGGGTGTCGGTGCTTGGGCTTGCCCTTTCTTGGCTGCCCTGGGATGACCTGAAGCCAGGGCTGCAGTAGGCAGGTCCCCGCTCACCCTTGGGGATGCTGACACCTTCATGACTTCAAAGACCAAGTAGGCGAGGAATACCCGGAAGCACCACATATTCCAGACGCTCCATCCATTCACCCCACAGGGATTTACTGAACACCAAGTATGAGTCAAGCACCTGCCCAGGTGCGGAGAAATTCAGCAGCAGACAAGACAAAGTCCTGGCCTTCCTGGTGCTCACTGTCCAGTGGGGGGAGATGGACAGGGCGCAGAAAGCCACACCGTGTTGGTGATGATGACGGCGGCAAAGCACAGCAAAGCAGCATGCGAGGGCAGGGGGCCCGCAGGGTAGTGTTTGCCAGGGTAGCCAAGGAGGGTCTCACTGGTCAGGGGACTTCTGAACAGGCGGCTACAGGCATCGAGGAGGGTCCTCATGCCGGGGGTGGACATGGGGAGCGATCCGGGCACCAGCACATGCTGGTAGGTTCCAGGAGCAGCCAGGAGGCCGCTGTGGCTGGGGAGGGTGAGCTGGGGGGTCGTGGAGTCACCTGGGGGTGTCCCCTTCCCAAGGTGTCCATAAGCCCATGCAAGACTGTCTCCGGCTCTGAGAGGATTGTCCCGCCGAGCACGCAGGGGTCTCACCGAGCAGGTAAACGTCAGAACCTTTGGGCACGGCGCTGCGGGCTACTACCCTCCAGGCTCACTGGGCAAGCTTAAAACACGACAGCAGCAGCCCAAGTTTATCAGGCTCCAAGTGTTCACTTTCCATGGTCTCGTCTCACCCTCACCACAGGTCGCCAGGTGGGTACAGACATCAGCGTCCTTCTGAGGGTCAAGGCGCTGGCGCAAGGCCACGTGCTAACAAGTGGCAGAGCCAGATGTGTGCCATCGGGAAGGCCAAACGCCCCTTCCCCTTCCTGCCTGCAAGCTTCTCCCTGAGCTGTGCCTCTCACCTGGAAGCCCAGATTCTGTAGCGCAACGTGATCCAAATTCCAAACACACACCTCCCTCTCCATCAACTGGCCTCAGTCTCCACCGCTGCTTTCTTACACACGCTGTCTACCGGCATCGGCACCCAGCGGTTAGACACACACTCACATACTCCTCGAGTCAACACACTGTGGGTCTCTGCCCTGTCTTTCCCCAGAAAACCTTCAATCCTTCCAGAAGTGAGGACTGGTCTGTATGTTCCCTGGACACCCCGCTCCCCGCCCCAAGGCCAGCAAGCCCCGTCCAGTCTGCTGAATTGCCTGGCATGGTGCTGGTGTTTGATGAGGACATGGCACCAGTTTGACAACGAGGGACTTGGCCCCACGGCGCAGAGCTCTTGAGTGAAGGCTGCAAGAAACCTCGACTCTGACCGGTGGGTCTGAGGCAGCACACTGCCTAGCAGCTGCCAGCCACCCCCCACACAGCGGAGGGCTTCTCAGGCTCGGGCTGCTTCACTGTCCACCAGATAACCCCCTCCACCCCTCCCTCGCCTGAGAGGTCCAACTGGGAAGGGGTGGGCTGTACTGTGCACTGAGATCTCCACCACCTGAGGATGGCCAGCAGCCAGTGCCCACATGCAGGCTGCTGTGGCACGAGGGTTTTATAGACTTCCTTGCAACAGCCCATGAAGAAGCGGGCACCCATGCCTAGATCTGGCACCTGCCCCAGCTGCCCATGGGCACCACAGCCAGCAGCAGAGCCAAGATCTGAACCCAGGCGCCTGTGCCCCGAGCCCACATCACAGCGCCACCACACCAAGGGCCGCCCCACCACACTTCCTCCCTTCAATCACAAGAGCCAGATTCCCTGACAACAAAGTGTCTCCAGATGAGAGCCACAGGGAACTCAGGGGCGACAAAGTTGCATTTGTGCTTACGCACAAATCTATATGGGGCCCACTCCATCTATATGGGGCACCGGCTCCGAGCCCGCTATGGCGCCAGGGACAGAGATAACCACGGCAGGTTCCTTTCCTGCAGGAATCTCGGTGGGGAGGGAGAGAGAGAGAGAGAGAGGTGGGGGGGGCTACAAATTGTGACCCACCTGCAGAAACGCCGGAGGAGGGGGCCGCGGAACCTCCTCTGCAGCTATCTGCTGCCCAGTAAGAAAGGTTCTGCCACGCGAACCCCAGTTTCGTGAGGGGTGATTCTATCTAGTCTAGGTTTTGACAATATTGCTACAGCAATTTTTTTTTTAAGTGAGAAATCAAGTCTATTAAACCGAACTTTTAAAAAAATGAGTAAGTTTCCATCAAACATGCGCAGCTTCCACACCCTCACTTTTGGGGCGGATCTTCCCAAGGGCCCACAGCAGCGCCCCTGCCACAGCAGAGCCCCCCGGCTGCACGGGGGCGGGCTGTAACTTCACCCACCCACAGGCCAGCCCAGGCCCCGGGAGCAGGCTCATTACACCCGCAATTACCAGCACGCCCAGCCCAGCGCACAGCCCATCACAGCCCATCCACACCTGTGCAGAGGGGGCAGCGCACCCAGGTCCTCAGGGACCGAGGGAGGGAGGGAGGGCGGTGGCCAGCACAGGTCGGCAAGGAGCAGGGCCCCAGTCCTGAGTCTTGACCTAGGATGTGGCCCCTGCTGGCCCACAGGTCACGAGTTGGGCACTATTTGCTTTTTCCTCCTGGAATCGTGAGGGAATTAGGTCTGCTAACTTCTCTCTTTCGGTAAACAAACTTCAATAAAACTTTTATTAGAAAATAAAAGAGCATGTGCAATCCATTGTATCCGGGCCCCCCTCGCCCCAGATCCCGTGTGACTGGCCGACCAGCTGACCCCTGGCTTTTCTTACCTCTGCCCTCTGAAGCCTGCAGCCTTGCCCACCTGTCCATAAAAGTCCATCAACCGTGGGCAGCAAAGGGTCTGAGCCATTGCGGGGTCACAGGGCGATAGGGCCAGCAGCCCTCTGACCCTTCTGAAAAGGGAACTCCCGAGTTGGGGGCAGGGGAGGAAGCACCCAGCCAGTCCCTGGGACACACCCCAATCTGGGAGCCCTGACTCTGGGCAGGAGGAGAGGAGTCAGCCAAACCCTGTCTGCTCTTATCTGCAGTCCAAAATTCACGGGCAGGTTCAGTTTCTCCCCACCCAGGTTCTGAGGCCCGTCCTCCTCTGCAGGCAAACTAGCACCAACCACCGGCCCAGCCCAGGAGGAGGAGAAAATGGGAGAGCAGAGGGGAAATGGTGGAAACGCGTGCGCCTGTATCCATGGCATGTAACTACGGGCAGGTGCTATCAGTAACCTGATTATTTTACAACTGGGGTCAATTTCTCGGGAACTGGGTTCCTGGTGCCTCTAAAGTTGAGCCATTTGCATCCTCCAGGATAGGGATCCTGGGGTGTGCCT